AGAAAATTTTGCAAGAATTGCTGGCTACACCTCATGGATGAGAAGAGACAGGCAAGGGCAAGGAGGAGGTGTTGCTGTGTGCTTCTCTAAAAGTGTTCATGCCCAGCACATTGATATTGCTACCCCTACACATCTTGAAATGATGTTCTTCAAGCTCTGTATAAACACTAGTACCTCTGTACTAGCATGTGCAATGTACAGACCTCAGTGGCAACATGCAGACCCCATCAACTTCCTAATGGAAAATATTGACTCCCTTCTGCTACAACACAACTGTCAACATATTATAATTGTTGGTGACCTCAACCAGCACCTTATACAGAGGGACTTTGATGACCTTGCAGTGTTTGACATGAGAAACTTTGTTGATTTCCCTACTCATATCTCTGGCTCCTCCCTTGACCCAGTAGTGAGTGATCTGGCAGAAGGCATAGCCACTTGTCAACCCCTCGGCTACGTTGGATCGTCTGACCACAAGGCTGTTTTTACGACACTTATGATCCCAACAGAACGAGGTGAGGAGTCCACACGCACAACCTGGCTATGGGAAAGAGGTAATTGGCCAGCCCTTTGCTCTGAGCTCGCCACCACCGATTGGAATGCTCTTCTCCAAGGGGATGTTGACAACCAAGTGAAAGCCTTCACTGGACACATCCTTAATCTACAACAAGAACACATTCCTCATCGGCAATATGTGACGAAGCCTACAGATCAGCCTTGGTTTGGCTTTCGTTGTAGAGAGGCTGCTACTGCTAAGTACAAAGCATGGCGAAGGTATGAGAGACATCCTACCACCTATAACAGGAACTTGCACACTCAAGCCTGTAGGCATATGGGTGACGTTCAAAAGTGGGCCATTGCTAAGTGGGACACTAAAAGAAAGCTAGCATCAGGTAGGGTAGGCTCCAAAACCTGGTGGTCCCTGGTCAAGGACAGACAAGGTTATCTGCCTGATGAACTTATTCCACCTCTAAATCGACAGGATGGGACCACCTCTACTAGTAGTCAAGAGAAGGCGGACCTCTTTGCTGAACACTTTGCTACCAAAATGCAAGTTCCTGATCCAGCAAGGGACCCTCCTTGGCTAGCTGCAAGAACTGTTTCAAAACTGTCAGTGGTGACAATAAGGCAGGAGGAGGTGCATTTCCTTCTTAAATCGCTTGACCAAGAAAAGGCTGTGGGCCCAGACAAGTTGAGCCCAAGATTGTTGAGAAGATGTACAGACCAGCTAGCAGCACCTCTAACTCGCATCTTTCAGCACTGCCTAATACAGTGTAAATGGCCCTCTCTATGGAAAGAGACAAATGTAGTCCCTGTTCACAAAAAGAAGAGCAGAGCAGAAATCAGCAACTACAGACCAGTGTCACTCCTGTCAATCACTGGTAAGATCCTTGAGACAATAATCTCAAGACAAATGACAGTTTTTTGACTACCACTCACTACTTTGTGATCGTCAATATGGCTTCAGGAAAGGTTACTCTGCTGCTGATCTGTTAAACCTCTCCACTAAGTGGCACCAGTCACTGGATGAATCCAAAGTCAGCTGTGTGGTAGCACTGGACATTGCTGGTGCTTTTGACCGGGTGTGGCACCAGGGCCTCTTAGCAAAACTTCAAGCACTGGGAATTGCAGGCTCTACGCTATGTCTCCTCAGTGATTACCTTCATGGTAGATCTCTAAGTGTAGTTCTCAATGGAACGGAATCAGCAAGACATCCTATTGGGGCAAGTGTTCCACAAGGAAGCGTGCTGGGTTCATTGTTATGGAATGTCTACTTCAACGACCTTCTTCGTCTCATCCCAGAATCACATGCATATGCAGACGACTATACACTGACATTCACTTATCCAAGACAAGAAATGCCAGCTGCTCTAAGCTACATCAATCACCAGCTGAGAGCTATATCAGCTTGGGGAAATAGATGGCAAGTAACATTTGCACCTGAGAAAACACAAATGATGATCGTCTCTAGGCACCATGATGGTAATGCTGGTGCAGTAGTAAGGATGAATGGGAGGGTGTTGGCACCTGGAGAAGAAGTTGATATCCTTGGGGTGAAATTTAACTCCAAACTAACCATGAAGAACCATGTTGCAAATCTTGCAAACAAGGCAGCCAGGAAGCTTACAGCACTCCGCCGTATCTCGCATCTGCTTGACAGTAGGGGTTGCAAGATCCTGTACGAGGCACAAGTACGCTCACACCTCGAGTTTGCTCCACTTTCTTGGTTTGCCTGCCCCCCCCCCCCCTCATCTGCGACTGCTTGACAGAGTAGAGAACAGAGCAAGACGTCTCATCTCTCGCCTGGACCCATCCTGGATAGATCTGTCATTTCAGCAGAGCCTTCAACATAGGAGGGATGTGGGTGGCCTTACTGTTATGTACAAGGCCAATATTGTCAAAATACCACACTTGGATCCACTTCGAGGACAGCGTGAAACAAGCTTTTATGCCACAAGACGGGCAGAAAGCAGCAACTTCACTCTGGCTGTACCCTTCTCCAGAACATCACTCCATCTGAGATCATACATACCCAGGATGACTCGAGTATGGAACACATTCGTACAGCATAGTGATGTCAACGAGATAAAGTCAGTTGATCAAATGAAAATGCTGGCCCACAGATGGCTCCAACTTCATCCTGTTCCCTACTTGTATGTCTCATAACAATAAAAATGCTTTCAAATGAGCTTATGTAGGTAACAGCTCTTAGCTTGCCAATAAAGTTAGGAATCCTTAACCTGTAAATAGCTTGTCAATAAAGCTAGGGATCCTTAACCTTGTCAAACCCTGTGTAAAAAAAAAAAAAAAAATCTTCACACTGGGGCCAAACACTTCATTAAACCAGTCTAGGAAAATTCCCCTTGTGACCCATGCCTTATTGTTAGCCTTCCTCATCACACAAATTACTCTTGGTGACACTTTTTTTCTTGAATACTCTGGGATTTTCAGAGTGATACACCAGTAAAGGCTTCACTTTGCAATCCCCACTAGCATTACTACAAAACATGAGAGTAAGTCTATCCTTCATAGGCTTGTGTCCTGGGAGTGCCGTTTCCTCCTGCGTGATGTAGGTCCTCTTTGGCATTTTCTTCCAAAAGAGGCCTGTTTCGTCACAATTAAACACTTGTTGGGGTTTGAATTCTCCAGTGTCTATGCACTCCTTAAACTCCTGTACAAACTTCTCAGCTGCTTTTTTGTCAGAACTGGCAGCCTCACCATGCCTTATCACACTGAATGCCACTACGCTTCTTAAATCTCTCAAACCAACCTTTGCTGGCCTTTAAATCACAAGCATCACCACTCACTGCAGGCATTTTCTTTACGAGATCGTCATGCAACTGCCTTGCCTTTTCACATATTATCGACTGCATAATACTATCTCCTGCTAACTGTTTTTGGGTAATCCACACCAACAATAACCTTTGCGATCTCTTTTTTGTCAGCATATCTACCCCTTTTGCAACAACAGCACACTTTATTTCCTTTCCCTTCGCCACAATCGAAGTGATGGTTGAATGGGGTTTGCCACACATCCTGGCAAGTTCTGTAACATGCACTCCGCTCTCATATTTTTCAATAATTTCCTTCTTGAATTCGATCGTGTTCCTCGCTTTCTTTACCAAAGGGCTTGCACTAGCTTTCCTTGGGCCCATGGTGACTTATTTAGCAGTTGCAAGCACAAAAAACAATGGATTATTATGAAATGTATTGCATGAACCCGCGGGGTGATGGTCACGTGCTAGTAAACAATGGCACACTGAGTGTGAATGTGCGCTGTGACGAGCGGATGGGTACCGGATGGTCACTGAATCACGAGTCCAATCACGAACCGCGAGGCTAAATTTTGCCGAAAAAACATGCCGAAAGTCGGATTTCACGAAAGTCAATGCCGACGAAACTCAGGGGTCCACTATATATACGTCAAACACATTGGCTCATAAGACGTATATATATGACCGAAACCGTCAAAGGGTTAACTATTTTAAAGTGTGCAATTCTCTACTAGGGACTTGGACATCCAACAGGCTTAGGCAAGTGTGTTAGAAGTGGAGGCAAGTGGCTTTTATGATTTGAGGTGCTGTTGGAGTATGAGTTGGTTAACATTTATGAAAGGCTTCAGGGTAAACTGGTTTGCCATACTTGGAAGTTAGAGGTACAGTGACATCACTCTGAATGAGGGGTAGTGATGCTGCAATTCAGGTCATCTGAACTGTCATCAGCAGACTTCTGGCAACACAGCGACTGAGTGAATGACAGTGAAAGAATTTCTTCATTTTCAGTCACCCTACCTTGGAGGGAGACAGTGAGAAAAAAAAAATCAAGTCTAATGAGGAGTGTGTATCTGAAGCCCAAGAATCACAGTCATCCACCTTAGCCCAGTAGGCCACAGCAACCCTTTTCACAGACACTACAATGCACCAACAGCCAGAATTTATGCCAAGAAACAAATTCTGTTACATAACTGTACCTGATACATGTATTGTATGTTTTGACTATAACTTCACTGCATCTACCTGTGCCTAGTAGGGCCATATCAACCTTCTCCACAAACCATTTTTAGATCACTAAGTAATGAAAACTACAATGTAAGATATCAAAACCTTGTAATTTTGAAGAATCAATTTTTTTTTTTTTTTACAAAACCAAGAGCATAACCCTCTTTTCCCCATACATTTTTCAGAAATGTGATATGTGAGAGTCCACTATAAATCTTAACACAGCTGGACTAAAATAATAAATATGCATAAAAAAGGTCTAAGTAAATGCCTTACACAATAAAGACGGGAAACCTTACTAGTATTACGATTAGATATAAAAGTTCTTAAGCAATGAACATAAAAAAAAAAAATCACCAAAATTTAGAGGCAATCAGAAAAGCTAAAAAGTAGAGATGCAATCAGTGGCAGTCATGGGACTCTAATGGACACATCTAATAACAATGAACAATAAAAGGCTAAAGCAGCACCTGTTTGCTGAAAATCCAATGCCTCTCATACCTGTGAGGATGTTATGGAAGGCTGTCTCAACATTGGTGGAGTCCAACGCTGAAGTTTCAATAAAGGACAATCCCTCTTTCTCGGCAAATGCCTTGGCTTCCTCTGTGGGCACCGACCGTAAATGGCGCAAGTCTGATTTGTTACCTGCAAAATGAATATGCAATGATTAACTAAGCCTTTTTTTTTTCAACAAGTCGGCTGTCTCCCACCGAGGCAGGGTGACCCAAAAAAGAAAAAAATCCTTGAAAAGAAAATACTTTTATCATTCAACACTTTCATCTCACTCATACAATCACTGTCTTTGCAGAGGCACCCAGATACAACAGTTTAGAAGCATATATAACATACCCCTCCAAACTGCCAATATCCCAAACCCCTCCTTTAAAGGGCAGGCATTGTACTTCTCATTTCCAGTACTCAAGTCCGGCTATATAAAAATAACCGGTTTCCTTGAATCCCTTCACTAAATATTACCCCGCTCACACCCCAACAGCTTGTCAGGTCCCAAATACCATTCGTCTCCATTCACTCCTATCTAACACGCTCACACATGCTTGCTGGAAGTCCAAGCCCCTCACCCACAAAACCTCCTTTACCCCTCCCTCCAACCTTTTTGAGGATGACCCCAACCCTGCCTTCCTTCCCCAACAGATTTATATGCTCTCCAAGTCATTCTACTTTGATCCATTCTCTCAAAATGACCAAACCACCTCAACAACCCCTCTTCAGCCCTGACTAATACTTTTAGTAATTCTACACCTCCTTCTAATTTCCACACACTGAATTCTCTGCATAATATTTACACCACATATCCCTCCAAACCGCTAATATCCCGAACCCCTCACTCCAAAGGAGGGGTTCGGTATATTAGCGGTTTGGAGGGATATGTTGTGTATCTTTATACGTATATGCTTCTAAACTGTTGTGTTCTGAGCACCTCTGCAAAAACAGTGATTATGTGTGAGCGAGGTGAAAGTGTTGAATGATGATGAAAGTATTTTCTTTTTGGGGATTTTTTCTTTCTTTTTGGGTCACCCTGCCTCAAAAAAAATTGCCTTTAGACAGGACATTTCCACTGCCTCCAATTGCCCACTCGCTGCAGCATTTACAACCCAAACTTCACACCCATATAAGTGTTGGTATCACTATACTTTCATACATTCCCTTCTTTGCCTCCATGGATAACTTTTTTTTTTGTCTCCACAGACACCACAACACACCACTCACCCTTTTTCCTTCATCAATTCTATGGTTAACCTCATCCTTCATAAACCCATCTGCTGACAAGTCAACTCCCAAATATATGAAAACATTCACTTCTTCCATACTCCTCCTCTCCAATGTGATATTTAATTTTTCTTTATCTAAATCATCTGATACCCTCATCACCTTACTCTTATCTATGCTCACTTTCAACTTTCTACCTTTACACACCCTCCCAAACTCGTCCACTAACCTTTGTAACTTTTCTTTGGAATCTCCCATAAGCACAGTATCATCAGCAAAAAGTAACTTTGTCAACTTCCATTTTGTATTTGATTCCCCATAATTTAATCCCACCCCACTCCCGAACACCCTAGAATTTACTTTTTACAACCCTATCTATAAATATATTAACAACCATGGTGACATTACATATCCCTGTCAAACAGTATGCATCCTTCCAATTCAGTGGCACACTGGTATACATACAATATAACAGTGTGCAATTGATGGGCAGGAGGTATACCTGTCTCATGAAGTCAACCTCTCCATGAATTACTCGACATACACACACGCATATTTAAATTGCACCAAAGTGGATAGGCCACTTATCTCTAAAACCCCACCTACCCCTCCACCCTCCCAAACCTTTCTAACATTCCATCCTTACCCATCCTCCTTCCTCCCCCATCTTACCAAAGCTCTTGTCAGAACCTCGTTGACCTCGTCATAGATAAAAAAAAAAGCAGCATATTTACAATGGCATAAGAACAAAAATGCTTGGAGAACACTAAACTTTCTGACCTGCTGCTTAGTGAGAATGGTGTATTGTAGGTAGGTATGTATACTATATATAGATAGCTAAATGAACTGAAATAAGTTTAATAACTTACCTACAAGCATGATGACAATATTTTGATCAGCATGATCTCTAAGTTCTTTCAGCCAACGTTCTACATTGGTATATGTGAGCAATTTGGCAATGTCATACACCAAGAGAGCACCTACAGCTCCCCTATAGTAGGCTGACGTGATGGCTCGATACCTCTCCTGTCCTGCAGTGTCCCAAATTTGTGCCTTTATGGTCTTTCCATCCACCTGAAAAAAATAAAGTATATAAAATATTAAGTATCTCCATGGGGACGTGGAACAGAATTCTTCCGCCATGCGTGTTGTAAGAGGCGACTAAAATGTCAGGAGCAAGGGGCTAGGAACCGTTTCTCCTGTATACATTACTAAATTTAAAAAAGAGAACCTTTCATTTTTCTTTTTAGGTCACCCTGCCATGGTGGGAAATGGCTGGTTTGTTGAAGGAAGAAAAAAAAAAAAAAGATTAAGTACAACCTTAGAACACACACCACCTTTTGAATATTTCTTGAAATGTTCAAATAAGGGGTAGCATTCATGTAATCTTAACTGCATCCTATCCCACCTAGAAAGGATACCCAAACAATAAAAATTTACCAGTAGTGACCCCCCCCTCACACATCACTCCACTCCCTCTGCTTTCCACTGTTTTTCACATATCCCAAAACTCAAGCTTGTCTAAGCTGTGTCCCAGAGTTGCTTTGATACATGAATACTCACATGTACAAAATACTTTTTCAACTACTTTTACTTAATTTACTTGAATTCTTTGGTGCTCCCATATTATGTACGTACTATGATTTCTCACTTTCCACCAGCATGTCAAATAATGATAAAGGCACAATACCACGACTGGAACAATACACAAATAACCCACACAAAGGAGACAACCTGATCATCATCATGGCCAGACTTGGACCTTAACTAGTCAAATCTTATATTCACACAGATTAGCCATTGAATGCCAGAGTACAAACCTCTCAACATCTTTGAAGTCCTCCTTGAAAGTGATTCCTCTTGATGCAATGCTCCCACAACACCACCCAAAATGCTTCAGATTCAAGGTGGGTTAGTAAACTAGCCTTATTTCTATGCAACTGCCAACATTATTTATGTTGGCAATTGCATTTGGGCTGTAATGACACATTAGCCTCCCTACAAAACTAAGTTTGTGATGATTTCACTGAAGAACTTCATGACCCTCAAGACCTCACATATAATGACCTATGCCTGATGGTTATGCAAAACTGGTTATCAGATTGGAGGAAGTATGGAGGAAGTGAATGTATTTAGATATTTAAGAGTCAGCACTGGTTTGGTAATGGAGTTGTGGATGAGTGGAACAAACTCCCGAGTACAGTTATATTGGCTAAAACGTTGTGTAGTTTTAAAAATAGGTTAGATAAATACACGAGTGGGTGTTGGTGGGCGTGCGTTGGACCTGACTAGCTTGTGCTAAGTCTGATGCCTTGCTCCTTCCATAAGTGGAAGTGACCTGACTAGGTGGGTCATTGAGCTAATCTGTGGGTGGGTGGGTGGTGGCATGGACCTGCTTTGCATGGGTCAATAGGCCTGCTGCAGTGTTCCTTCTTTATGTTCTTATGTACTGTACCAACACTATAAAAGATGAGTGGGGATTATGTATTTCAGAATTGTGATGTCTGTACACTTACACAGAGAACTGCTGAAATCATCAATGATACATTATAATTATTAGGATTGAAGTGAAAACAAGAATCTGGTAATTATTCCTATATACAAGTGTAAAGTAAAAGGACAAGTGCAATATATACAAGTGACCATCAGCAATGGTAGAGGAATTCACCAGAGATAAGAGCCTACATCAAACATATTCCCTGGAGATCTGAATCTTCTAAATGTTAAATGAAAGATAGAAGACAGCATTATTGTACCAAAAACAGTACTTGGAAGTATATTAGCATCCCCAACACACACAAACATTCATCCTCCCACCCCATCTCCACACACACACAACCCCAACTAATTTCCACTCCCCCATAACCCCGCCTACATAACCACAACCCCCCACATGCAGACAGACTTATATGCATCTAGTGGACCTAGTGGCAATCAGTGAAGCGGTGGGGCCAGTAAGAAGATGTATATTAATTTTTCTAAACTACAGAATGCTAACAGTAGTAGTAGTAGTAAACAAAACCAAATCTAGCCTAAGCAAAACAAAATGTTCAATATCCAAGGCAAGGTCTTGGAACCTTTACTGTTTCTCACCCTCACAGCAGATTGATAAAAATATCTAGCCACAGCTTCATATAATCCTTTGAAAGCAATACCAAAATAAGAAAAAGTTGTGCCTCAGTAGAAGACAGAAAAGGGGTAAGCAGATGTCAACTAAGTCTTCAATGGACAATAGAAAATAACTATGCTCAATACTGAAAGACTGAAGAACTCAAAAAGAGTATACGAGACAAAACACAGGGAACTAAAAGAATCTATAAAAGACTTGTACATAATGTCAGTTTATTGTTTTTAACACATCGGCCATTTCCCACCAAGTCATATGTTGTATCACTTAGAAAACTCAATAAAACAAATGCTGCAAACACCAGAAAATTAACAGGGTTGATAATGAGAAATATCAGTTCAAGAAAAATACCTGTAATGCCTATGGTAACACTATACAAATCACGTGTGCTCTCTCGTTTACAATACTGTTTGGTGTCGATTGTTCAAGGCAGGAAATATCAGTTGGGGAAAAGTGTCAAGACTGTGTATTGCCTGCTTAGAGTCAATTAATTGTTTAAACCACTGGAAATGCCTCAGAGTACTTGGAATAAACTCTTTGGAGTGACTGGGAGAAAATTTATACATGATAGATATTCATAGTCCAAGTCACAAATCAGCACAAAACCATAATGTACTAAGGTAAGAGATGTGGGAGAAGTGCAAAACAGCCCCAGTGAAAAGCAGGGAAGCCACGGGTACAAAAAAAAAAAAACTGTTAATGTCTGGGTACAAAGACCATTCACTCTGCTGCCACTAGAATTCAGAAATATTGGTAGAACAAGTGTAGAGATTTGTTAGAAGCTGGGTCACTATCCCTGCCAAGTGCTATTGATATTGTAATAATGTTGGTAGAATTACCGACAATATATAAAGTAAAAGGACGCAAGTGCAACTAATGTGACATTTTTATTGTGGCAACGTTTCGCTCTCCAGGAGTTTTGACAAGCAGTTACAGCTTGACAAAGCTCCTGGAGAGCAAAACGTTGCCACAGTAAAAATGTCACATTAGTTGCACTTGTGTCCTTTTACTTTACATGCTATTGCTATTGGTGGTCCACCAACAGCAAAAATCTGAATGAACAGAAAATCAGGATTAAAAGCCTGGCCCCAAAACTTCTAAAATGGTCATCACACATAAGACCTGAATGAGTGATAGAAAATTGTGAGAAGGTACAACATGACATATGTGCAAGGAGATAAATTTATTAGTTTGTGTGGAAATGGAATTATGTGAACATAAAACTATGCATGATGAACAAGTAAATTAACTGGGCATTCTAATGCAGTGGACCCTCAGGTAAAGGTGTCATTGGTTAGCGTCAAAACCGGATAACGGCTCACTTTGGCGTAAAAATATTGGCTCGGCTAATGCCAAATAACTCGGGTAAGGGTTAAGGGCCTGACTCCATGTACAGCCAGTGTGCCATTGTTTACAAAGCCAAGGAGGACGATTCCACACGTACATGCAATATATTTTGTATTATTCCATTGTTTTTAGTGCTTGTAACTGCTAAATAAGCCACCGTGGGCCCCAAGAAAGCTTCTAATACCAACCCTGCGGTAAAAAGGGTAAGAAATACTATTCAATTAAAGAGATACGTAATCGCAAAGTACGAGAGTGGAGTGCATATCTCAGAGTTGGAAAGGTTATATAACAAGCCCCATTCAACCATCACCACTATCTTGGCCAACAAAATTGCAACCAAGGAAGCTGTTGTTGCAAAAGGTGCAAGTATGCTTACAAAACAGAGATCGCAAATACTTGAAAATGTGGAGAGACTGTTGTTGGTGTGGATAAATGAGAAACAATTATCAGGATAGTGTTTCTTAGTCAATAATATGTAAAAAGGCAAGGAAGTTGCATGATGATCTCATTAAGAAAATGCCTCCAAATAGTGCTGTTATTGAAGAATTTAAGGCTGGCAAAGGCTGGTTTGAGAGATTTAAGAATCATAGTGGCATACACAGTGTGATAAGGCATGGTGAGGCTGCCAGTTCTGACAAAAAAGAGGCTGAAAAATATGTGCATGACTAAGGAGTACATAGACACTGAAAAATTAAAACAACAAGTGTTCAATTGTGACAAAACAGCCTGTTCTGGAAGAAAATGCCAAACAGGACCTACATTACTCTGGAGGAAAAAGACACTCCCAGGACACAACCCTATGAAAGACAGGCTAACACTAATGTTTTGTAGTAATGCTAGTGGGGACTGCAAAGTGAAGCCTTTACTCGTGTATCACTCTGAAACTTCCAGTGTTTTCAAGAAAAACAATGTCATCAAGACTAAATTGTGTGTGATGTGAAGAGCAAACAGTAAGGCATGGGTCACTAGGGACATTTTCCTTGACTGGTTCTATGACATGTTTGGTCCCTCTGTGAAAAAGTACCTTCTGGAAAATAAATTGTCACTCGAGTGCCTCCTGGTAATGGACAATGCTCCTGCTCATCCTCACAACTTACAAGAGCAAATTGCGGGGGAGTTGAGCTTCATCAAGGTGAAGTTTTTTGCTTCCTAATACCACTCCTCTCCTCCAGCCCATGGACCAGCAGGTCATTTCAAACTTCAAAAAAAACTGTACACCAAAGCAGTGTTTCAAAAGAGCTTTGAAGCGACCTCAGACACTGAACTGACCATAAGAGAATTCTGGAAAATTCACTTCAGTATCCTCAGTTGCATAAACCTTATAAGTAAGGCTTGGGAGGGAGTGACTTGCAGGACTTTGAACTCTGCTTGGAGAAAATTGTGGCCAGAATGTGTACAAGAGAGGGATTTTGAAGGGTTTGGGGCTAACCCTCAGGAGACTCTGCCAGTTGTGGAATCTATTATGGCACTGGGGAAGTCCATGGGGTTGGAGGTTAGTGGCGAGGATGTGGAATCGTTGGTGGAGGACAACAATGAAGAGCTAACCACTACAGAGCTGCAAGAGCTTCAGGTGCAACAGCAACAGATCACAGCTCAGGAA